CATGCTGACTGGATCTACTACAAATTTATGCTGCACAATCTCTTCTGCCTCTCCCAGCAGAAAGATCATACTTTTACACTCACCTAACTAATTGACTGTCCCACTTACCATAGAGGCTGTTCCAAAAACTGTCATATTTCTGCAAGCCTTCCATGGCATGCCTTTTCCCATTCTCTCAGCTGAGGGCATTGCCTCATGTTTTATCAAAAAATTCTAGGCTGTTCACTGAGAGCTCCTTCTCCACCCCTCCTCTTCATCTCATATCACTGACATCTTCCCCTATTATCTCCTCCTTCACCCTTGTCTCACATGAAGAACTGAACCTTCTTCTTGAAAGGTGAACATATACATTTACCTTTGATCTCATCCCAACTTGTTTTCTACCATGGATTGTTCCCACTATCCTTATTCTTTCATCTTTAACTTCTCTCTATCTATTGGCTCCTTTCTTGCTGCCCAGAAATATGCCAATGTCTCTCTCATCCTTTACAAAAAATAACATCTTACCTGATACTACCATCCTGGCTAGATACTGTCATATACTTCTCCTTGTCTTCCTGGCTAAACTCCTCAAGAAAGTGATCTATACTCATTGCCTCCACTTCCTTTCCTCTCTATTGTAAACCTTCTGCAATCTATCTTCAAGCATCATCATTCAACTGAGATTACTCTCATCAAAGTTATCTCTTAACTGTTAAATTTAATGAATTTTTCATCCTCATCCTTCTTGACCTCTCTTGTAATCTGACACTATTGATTGTACCCTTCTTCTTTTAAATACTCTCTACTCTTTAGATTTTTATGGCAATGCTCCTCCCTGGTTCTTCATATAGTCTCATTTATTGGTTCTTCATCCATGTTATACCCATTAACCATGGTTGTACCCCACAGCTCTGCCCTGTGTCCTCTTTTTGCTCTGTGCTTTCTTGCTTTGTGATTTCATCAGCTGTCATGGGTTCAGCTGTCTCTATGTACTCAGCTGTCTAGCCCTAACCTCTCTCCCAAGTTCTGGTCTTGAATCACCAATCTCCTTTTGGATATCCTGCACTAGATGTCCTCTAACCATTTCAAACTCAACAAGTCCAAAACAGATATGACTTTCTCTCCCACTCCCCTCCCAAGGTTCCCCTTTTCTGAACTCTTTTATTCTGAGTCACCCAGACTCACAACCTTACTGTTGTTTCTTGAACTCACTTCACACATGTCAATCTGTTGCCAAGTCTTGTCATTTCTATGTTCACAATATTTCTTGTACACATCTCTGCTACTTTCCTGGTCCAAGCTCTCATCCCATTTCATGCCTGGTCTGTTGCAAAAACCTTTAAGTTGTCCTCCCTGATGCAAGTCTCTCTTCACTTCAATCCCATTGTCCACTCAGTTGCCCAACACGATTTTTTCTAAATTGCAGATTATGTCACTCTATCTACCACTGCTCGATAAATTCCAGTGGCTCCCTATTATCTTCAGAATCAAATACAAAACCATACAACCCGGCCCCTTCCTAAGATCTTTCCAGTCTTCTTAAACTTTGCTTACTTCCATGTACTTTATGACATAGGGACGTTGGGCTTTTTGTTCTTTCTTATATATACTCTTCCTTTTTTCATGTCCTTCATGTCTATAATGCCTTTCTTCCTCATCCTCCTGGCTTCTCTGAATTCTTTTAAGACTCATCTCATGTTCCACTTTCTGCAGAAGACCTTTCCCACTTTCCACTGCTCCAGTCTTTCTTCTGAGATTATCTCCATTTACACTGCTTGTAGTACAAGCAGTAATTTGCATGTTGTTTTAAGTGTGAGCCACTTGAAAGCCGAGATTGGTTTTGTTGTTGTTTTGTTTTTTACCTTTCTTTGTGTCCTTAGGGGACAAGCACCCCTTAGACACAAAGCCTACAATAAATACTGATTGACTAACAATAGGATAATCTGAAGTTTTGGACTTAAAAGCCCTCTGAATTCCTTCCTCCTTCCCCTCCCCACCCCCCAAATATGGAGATTCCTCCCCTCTGGGCCAGTTATAATTTTCTCCCATTCTAGGTCCCAGCAGAATGAAGTTCAACTGCATCTTGTCAACTGGAAAGCCTAGGTCCTTTATGCAAAAATTCCTGTGTTGACATGAGACTGTAATTTGATCAGAAATATTAACTCAAAGGCAGCTAGGTAGTGCAGTGGATAGAGCACTGGCCCTGGATTTAGGAGGACCTGAGTTCCACTCCAGCCTCAGACACATAACACTTATTAGCTGTGTGATCCTAGGCAAGTCACTTAACCCCATTGCCTAGCCAAAAAAAAAAAAGGAAATATTAACTCAAATCTGTCTTTATTTAATCCCCTAAACCTTGCAGATGGTAAAATTGGAGAATAAGGGATGTTTGTCTTCAGTGCTCCTAGCCTCATTTTTCTGTACTCAACCTCTCCCTCCATAGCCACCTGGCTCGTAGAGAGTCCTAAAAGGGATGGGGGCCGTTTAGCCCATCCTCATCATTTTATATTTGAAGAAAATGAACACTCATTAGAAGATCTACTTCTGGGGGGCTTTAGCCTTCTTGATATATATACATTTTACAAGATCTTGTAGTCTTCTTTATTGCCTACTTCTAACTCAGGAACATACTTGGTTTAGCTTGGTAGCTTGGTAGCTTGGTTTAGCTGTTCAATTTCAAAGCACCCCCCTTCCCATCTATGGGTTCCCAGTGTTTTACTCCCATCTTCCTTCCTATTATCATATGCTCATAAAAGTATGTAATATCTATCTTATGCCTTAAATATCAATTTAGATTTTATATGGTGCCAAGTTGTTTTGTTTTGTATTTTAAGCCTTATTTCTAATCATAATGGGAAAGATTTTGTTCCAGTTAAAGGACAGTCAGGTACAGGAAGGAGGGTGAACTTTCCTATTCCAATAAAATCATGCCACTACCCAAGATGGGTGGAAACCTCTTCTGGGTGGGTATGAATTATATCAGTAAAGCCAATATCTCTTTTAACCATATTTGACATAACCTGTAGCCCTTTCCCAGAAGTTTAGTATGAATAAAGCTCCTGACCTACTCTCCTATAAAGAAAATCCTGAAGAAAGGGCAATAAAAAGGTCATAAATCTAATTCCTGACTTTATTCCTTCAAGGTGCCTAAGGTGTGGCAATATGGCATAGTAGAAAGTTAGAGCAGGAGCTTGGAAGACCTGGGTTCAAGTCCTGGCTCTGACACATACCAGTTGTGTGACCCTGGACAAGTTACTCTTACTTTTCTAGGTAATTCTTTAAGATAATAAATTGCAAGGTCACAACCTGCATTAGCAGGAGTTCTGGAATTCCCTATTTCAATGAAGCCACAGTCCACTCCATATTTCTATTCATTTTTTTCCAGAAAAATTAGAAATGTGATGGAATTCTGAGAGAAAGAAGGAAGGGAGAGAGAAAAGAAAGAAATAAAGAAAGAGGCTAAAAATGTAAATAGGTTTGGAAAAACTTTAAATAAATTCATATACGGTAAATCTATAAGCTACTAAGTGAAATTATGTCTCTTGCTACCCTTTTAAGTTTGACAGCAGAAAGTCAACCCACTCTCCCGCAATAGGTCCCTTGGTGTCACTGGAAAAGACAAACTAAGTGGTATAACAATACTTTTGCTCTTTTGTTTCCTTCCCTGGAAGGAAAAGAAAAAGAGCAAGTCCTTTATTATCTAGCCAAGAGTGAAACCATGCTGTTGACACTGCAGATTCACAATTGAGAGCCGGGCTCTTGATGCCTGTTGGAAAGCACATTATGTAAAACTGATACTGAGGGGAATTACAGGAGTGCCCATTACACACTCGACCAATCCCCAGCCTGCACTGCCAACAAGGAAAGTATGAAATGGTGATTGCATTGTAGACTGAGACAATATTGGATGATTAAACAAAGAGGCTTTTATCATTTTTTAATTTTGATTTGAATGGGTGCCATTTTTTTCCCCCTCTGAACTCTTCAAGTCGACTGCAGCAATCAGGATCTCTAAAGGGGCCTCCTTATTTCTTGTGCTTCCTTCAATCAGCCGCTAATGGCAAAAACTGCTCTGTTAAGAGGTACCTTTATCCCTTTTTCATCAGACTTCTTAGAGTTGTCAGGGCCAATACAGCTTTTCTAGATGGCCAAATGCCACTACAACAAATGTCTAAAAATGATAAAGGTCTCAGTTCCAGTGTATCCCATACCTTGATGAGATAATATTTCCAGTTTCTTGAAACTACCTGAAAAATGATACTAGCATGTAAGAGTAAAAGGTTACCATATGATCCAGTAGCACAATGGACGATAGTACTGAGTCATAGTTCAGAAAGACTTGCATTCAAATACAGCCTCAGATATTTAGTAGCTTGTGTGAACCTTGGCAAGTCACCTGACCACTTACCTGCCTCAGTTTCCTCAGCTGTAAAATGAGGAAGATAATCATACCTACCTTTCAGGGCTAGTGAACATTTGATGATATTTGTAAAGTTTCTTGAGAGCTTAAAGCACTACATAAATGCTAACTATTATTACATAATGAAATTGATTCCCTTTGAGTTGATTATTGCTTGCTGTTTTGGGCCAATTAATACATATACACATTTGAAGATTGGTTTTTTGTATAGCTTTGGGAGAGTGTAAGAAATTTAGAAATAAATGAGACAAGTCATGCTCTCATCAATTTGTCCCACCAAGTTTCTATGTGATATTGGACAGCTCATTTTGGATACCTTCTCTCTGCATTAGGTTACTAGGCTATAACGTGATAATATTTTACTACTTCCCTATTATGGTACTGTAAAGTTTATCTTTGTAAAACAATTTGAGAACTCTGGACTCAATGTGTCACTCAACATAGAAAGAGATTATTATTATTTAATATTTATAAAAATCAAGTAAAGTTGTGGGGCAGCTAGGTGGTGCAGTGGATAGAGCACTGGCTCTGAAGTCAGGAGGACCTGAGTTCAAATCCTGCCTCAGATCAAACACTTGACACTTACTAACACTTGACACTTAGTAGCTGTGTGACCCTGGGCAAGTCACTTAAACCCAATTGCCAAAAAGAAAAAATCAAGAAAAGTTTCAGAGAGATTTTTCAATAAAGCATTACTTTTCAGAACCAGTATTATAGATATGATTAATGGGCATTTTTTTTTAAATGAAGAGTTATACTGATGTGACCAGAACATTGCCCTGAGTTGGATGCTTTCTATAAGGCTAAATAAGAACTATTAGTGTGGCAAAAAAAAAAATAGACAAATCCTATTTTGTTATCCACTGATTGAATGATGACTGGCATCTATGTCCTATATGAGATTATTAGCTCCTTGGGGACAGGGACTGCTTTGTAAGAGCATGGGGCAGGAGTTCAGGACATCTGCACTTTATTGGGCAAATATCTTCACTTTTCCAGGCCTCAGTTTTCTCATCTGTAAAATATGGTTGTTGGACTAGATGATCTTCTGTCTTCCCAATGCCTTGCTGAGTATACTACACAAAGATAACACTCAGCCAATGTCCTTGTTTCAATGATGATATTCAAACATTCAACTGGAATGATAATGATATGGAAACTTGTTTGCTTTTGAGGCTTGAAACATCAGGTTTTGGTCACACTGTATATTACAAATTCACTTCACAGAGACTAGTCCTATGGTCTATGTATTACCTGTTATTAGTATTGAGTAAATGTTACAAAGTAATAACAACTTTTTAAATTTTTGATTCTATGGATTTATCTACTCCAGAAATAGGAGACTGTATAATGAATGTCCAAGTGGTAAATACACCAGAGCACACAGTTAAAAGCTACACATTCATATGGGACAGCACACACCACTCATTTACCTGAATTATCTAGCATGGATTGGAGTCTCATGCTATACCACTTTATGGTGATTCTTAGTAGTTAATTGCCTTCAGAATAATTATCTCTTACCACCCATTAGGAATTCTCCCACAAAATTGTGTCAGCTAAGAATATGGTTCAACTTGCTTAGTTAATAGTCAGAGTTCCAAAACATGACTTTGCTGACCTTTCCACAGATAGTTTTTCTTCTGCCTTCACAGATACCTATCTAATCTTTTCCTTAGCTTGGGAAAGCAAACCCAACCTAATTGTCCTCCTCAAAACTCTGAAAATTCCTTTTTCAAAGTGACAAGTAAAATGCAGAAGACTAACTTGCTGGAGAGGAAGGCAAAGTCTTACAGAGAACAACATTATTTTCTTGGGAGCAGAGGACTATGGGATTTGTGGTATTCTTTTCCATTTCTAGGTTCTGCTGTCCATCTAGGTCCCACTACTCTTGTTTCTTCCTCTTCTTCTTCTCCCGATTCATACTCCTCATCCACTGCATGAAACTGTGGTTTTGGTATTAAAGGAGGCCTTACTCTGCTCATTTGGTCTCCTCGGGCAGCACTTCTTTGGCCACCCAAGTTTAAAGATCTCCCCCCTCTACGCAACCTCTCCATTGGAATCATCTCTGGCTGCTGTCTTCTTTCTTGAAGTGACCCTGTTCGACCATGTGGTTTAAATGTAACTGGAAAGAAGATTGCATCACTGCTATCATCATCTAAAGGACAAGAACAAACAAACAAGCACAATTTGAAAGGAGTAAGGATCAAAGAGCAAGGTATTCATCACAGATGGTCAACATGTGCTGATGGAATACTGAAGGGAAGAGTACTCCATTCCTGGTTCTGACACTTACATTAGGCAAGTCACTTGTGATTTTCATCTCCCACAACTTTCTCTTCAGTATAATTATCTTCATTTCCATTCTCAAAGGGTAAAATCTAACACATTTGCAATAATTTAAATAAATACCCCAAAATTTCCAGCCCATTTTCTACCAGCCTACTCTCCCTTATGTTGGTACATTTCTCCTGCAGAAATTCTTATTTCTCTGGATTAGTAGATGAGTGACCATTTTCATTACCAGATTAATGCTTATAAAGTACTTTGTTTCTAAAATCTAATACAAACACTAGTGATGTCATACAGCTCACAGAAAAGCATAATTGAAGCCCAGAAAATTAAATGTGACTATGAACAGAAAAATGTTAGTATTCTGATAATATTTCTTTTTTAAAGCTTTCAGTTATTTTTCACGTACAACTCTTTGAGACTCCCTTTGGTATTTTCTTGACAAAGGTACTGGAATGGTTTGCCATTTCTCTCTCCAGCTCATTTTACAGATGAGGAAACTGAGGCAAACAGGATTAAGTGACTTTCCCAGGTCACACAGCTAGGAAGTGTCTTAAGCTGGATTTGAACTCAGGAAGATGAGTCTTGCTGACTCCAGACCCAAAGCTCTATCCACTATGCCACATAGCTATAAATAATATTAAGTTCAATTCTACGAATTTCACTATCCTTAGTTTATCAAGACAGATAGGTGGTACAATGGCTAGAACAACAGACCTTGATGCAGGAATACCTGAGTTTAAATCTAGCTTCAAAGATTTACTAACTGTGTGACCCGAGGAAAGTCACTTAACCTCTTTTTCCCTGACAGTTGATGATAGCAGCCACTTGCCAGAGTTTTATAAGGATAAAATGAAATAAAAAGTGTAAAGTGCTTCTCAAACCTTGTTGTTCTAATGCAATAGTCAGCCTGTTTGCAAACAAAAATTAGAGATAATAGCCAAGAAGTTACTGAGGGGTTTAATATAAATCTTTCTATTGAAAAATATCATTCACATGTTTTCAGCATCCAGTTTTCAAGGTGATAAGTAGAAATACAGTTCATCATGAAATGAAGTGAGTGACATCACCCAGGTCTCATATTCTACTCATATTGTACTTTTCAAATACCTAGATGTTTCCAATACATGGAACACAATTGTTTTCAATGAAATGAGAATTAGTATTATACAGGGAGCATATGGAGAGGTGCATGGTGGGTGAAAGCAAGCTGCCAGTTGTGAGACAAGGGAGGAATTTAGAAGAGCAGGTCTAAAAGATGTCATCAGGAAGGTGTGATAGAAAAGGTGAATGATTGCTTTGTGCCAAAGGTAAGGAATAACAAGGAAGAGAGTTCTAGTGTTGCTTCAAATGGCAGAGGAAAGGAATGGAAGGTTTCAATTATGATAAGTGGATTCCTTGTGTTGAACTTATAGGAGGACATGGACCAGAGGTCAGCATGGATAAGATATGGTCTATATCATCAGAAGGAGTATCCAGTCAGTGACATCATGGGTCCACCTGAGCATCATTATAAATGGTACATTCATATACCCTGAAGGTGCTACCTGAGGAAATAATTTCTAATGCAAAAATTCTGCTGAGGAGTTTGGATCATTTGAGCTATCTATATTTGAATGATATTTTACCAGATAGAAACAAGTACACACTTCCCAAAGATTTAAACTATGTTGAAATGCTTTAAAATCCAGTTTCCTATATTCTTTCAAATGTTAAAATTAAAAAAAATAAATAGAAAAGAAATCAAGTCACAAAAAAAAAACATATCTATGAAGACTACAAGACAATTTTACCTTTGAGTGTCTCTAAGAATTTAAAAAATACTTTTCTATCAACTTTAGGTTGGGAGGGATTGTTGTTTTTTGTTAGGCTCTTGAAATTCATAGACTTCAAGAAATTTAAAAATGCAAAAGGGAAAAACAATTGCTAAAATATTGTGGTCAGACACCCATGAATTACTTTCATATAAGTAAAACACCTTTAAAAAATTTCGGTAGTTTGAAATGAGCAAAATTCCAGAGACCCATGAGACGGGTCTTTTTCATTCTTTGGAGGAAGAAAAGCAAACAGATAAATTACCTGTAAAAACACCAGTCCCTGTTTCTCTGTTTGCTGAATGAGGGTTGCTATAAGGGAAGGAGAGGTAGCGGATATTTTTGATGCCACTCTACATGAAACGAGAAAATTAAACAATAGGTTAGTTGGTAGTGATGGAGTTTGAGAAGGTAAATGAAATTAGACAACACACACAGAGACACACATTATAATGGCTCCAATCTAATCCACTAGCTTTTAACCATTTTAGTAGTTCAACTTATATATTTATTGAACTCCTATTTCATGCAAGGCACCATGGTAGATGCCAAAGGAGATTCAAATATAAATGAAAGAAACAAGCATTTATTATGTGTTAGGCACCATGCTAAGCACTTAACAAATATTATCTCATTCGATCTTCACAACAATCTTGAGAGATAGATACTATTATTATCCCCATTTTACTATTGAGTAAACTGAGGCAAAAAGGTTAAGTGACTTGCCTAGGGCCCCACTGCTAGTTTGTTTCTGAGGCCAGATTTGAATTCAGGTCTTCTTGATTTCAGGCTCAGAGCCCTGGATTTAAAATACAGAACCTGGGTTCAAACCCTACCTCCTCTTATTTGCTACCTCTGTGGCACTGGACAAAGGACTAACCTCTCAGGACCCTAATTTCCTATCTTTAAAATGAGGAAGTTGGCTTAGATAGTATGTATGGATCCTTCCAGGCATAAATCTGTGATCTCATGGGTGCTCAGAAGAGGGAGAGATCACATCTTGTTGGAGGAATCAAAGAAGGTTTCATGAAAACAGTAAAATTGTGTATGGGCCTTGAAAGATGGATGGGATTTGGATATTATTCCAGATGAAGGGAGCAAAATGGCAAAAAAGCATAGAAGCAGAAAAAAGGGAGCATATTTGAAGAATATCAAATAATTGAGTCTAGATGGCATTTCATATATACATGCATATATATACATATATATATATATATATATGTGTGTGTATATATATATATGTGTGTATATATATATATTTATATACACACACACACACACATACACATATATATGCATATGGCAATAGTGTGAGATAGAGCAGAAAAAAGTATTTGGAGACATATCAGAGCCTTAAGTGCCAGAATCAGGAGTCTGTCTTGTTCCCACAAGCAGTGGGGAGCCATTGAATACTTGGAATCATGGAAATAATTGATTAAAGTTGTGCTTTGTTTAAGAAGGGTGAAATGCTTGCGTCTTTACTGGTACCCATCACTAGTTCACCTGGCCACTCTAGCTTATAATGGATGTTCAAAGACTCTTTACTTAAATGCCAAGAGCCCTGGAAACAAACTCAAAGCTCCCTGCTACCCCTCTAGATATATGGTAGTAGAATAGGGTCTACAACAGATCATAATTCCACACTATGATACAAGAATAGGAACTACATCAGATCAGACCTTGACTTTCTCTGGGAGAGACCCTAAGGAAATTGGCTTGGGTATAATTTTGTATGAAGAATTCAGATTCATTACGAGAGAAGTGATAACAAAAATGTAGCAGCCCATGCATAGAACTAATTCTAATCCATTTTAACTTGGGGTGAATCTAAGCCTTTAAGACTCATGCCCTCATGTTGTATCTACCATCCAGAGGGAGTCAAAGGCAGCCTCCTAATTCCAAGGCATAATAGTTATAGCAAAACCAGTTTTTGCCCAATTAGCTAATACATGTAGCTAATAGGGTTCAATCTTTTGCCTTATAGATGACTCTTACCCAGTTTCATGCTAAAGGCTTAAATCATTAGCAATTTTTATGGGTATTAAATGTAGTAAATGAAAAAAAAATGGAATAATTCACATAGTCCTCAAGAAACTTGCCTGCCTATGCTAAGGGGTCACCGGAACCAATCCAGCCCAGTAGATTGGTAGACTTCAATAGGGTCTTTTGGGAAACTGAATCAATCCTGGAATACAATAGGCCTCCTAGAAGAATCTTGACTTGGAACGTGTTGGTTATTGGTACCTCAGTGCTAACATATAATGGAAAGATCACATCACACTCAGAAATTCTTTGACAAATTCAACTTTTGGTCTGGATCAACGTGTTCCTGAGGCCTGGAAGAAGGGAGAGGAGGCTGCCATGATATCCAACACCTTATTTTTTTTTAGAAGTTCCAGGCCAAAAAAATTAAAATAAGTGATTTATGTGAATGTAAAAATTAATTTCAAGGGGCTTAAGTTTTATAATTTACAGAAACAGGTTAAGTATTATAGATGCTCAATAAATATTGACAAATAAATGAATGAATATATGAACAAATTTTTCTACTCCAAGTAAGTAAATGACAACTTGTACCGGCTTTCCCCATGGCAAGCTGTTGCCTTTCCTTAGACTTTCCCTGAAGGTATGTTGGCGACGAATTAGAATTTCCTTTGCTTGTTTCTCACTTGTTTCTGTTCTCAGGTTATACTTATTGTAGGACAGGGTCTGAAATGAGAATGGGATTATAGGCACATGCTGCTCATTTTACAAGCATTTTGCAAGCTTTCAACCATAGACGATATCACAAATTTAAGTTCATTTTTCTTGGATCTCCTTTTCCCCTTTCAATAAACTTACCCAGATATCTGGTGCATATGTTGCCTCCTGGATACCTAAGATCCCATCTAAATATGCTTTTCTTAAGTAGAGACTCATATACTTGAGATCTTTTCTTCCCCCTTCAAACTTAACCTACCCTATGTCCCAGTTCCTCAGAGATTTTCAGGTGACCATACAACAAATCTGATAAACAGTTGGTATTGATATAATCTTAGGTGACAGAGGCTTACTGCACTATCATTCCCAGCATAACTTCATTGCATTGCATTTTAACAGATGCTATCAAAACCTCAAACTAAAAGAAAACTTGCTGTTTAGTCATTTTCAGTTGTGTCTGACTCTTCGTGACCCCTTTTGGGGTTTCCTTGGCAGAGAAACTGGAGTGGCTTGCCATCTCCAGCTCTTTTTACAGATGACAAAACTGAGGCAAACAGAGTAAGTAATCTGCCCTCGGTCATACAGCTAGTAAGTGTCTCACACCTGATTTGAACTCAGGAAGATGAGTCTTCCTGACTCCAGACTCAATTCTCTGTTCACTGTGCCTTCTAGCTGCCCTAAAAGAAAACTACCATTTGGAATTTCTGGTCTTAGGGTCTGCTTGGGGAGATAATTGGGTGAGAGTGGGGAGAAGGGCAGAAATGCCTTTCAATGTTCCTCTGATCCATCTCATACAACCTTGGCTATTTCTTGCTTCCTGTACTGATATACAGGAAATATATTTCTTCTTGCTTTCTGGCCTTATAAATTTATAATGCACATTCAAAGTTTTGGAATTGACATCATATGATGTTACAGAGACATCAGGCATTTTGACTAAACAAAATATCTACATTTCAGTCAGGTACCATGAATTGTTTTATCATTGTTTTTGAAGTATAGAATAGTGCATCTATAACACCAAGGTGATATTGATTATGGAATCCAAGAGAAACATTTGGGACATGTATCAACTTCTGCGGTCTAAGGGTCCAGCATATGGGGCCATAGGTACAAGACTTTCTTTTTTTTTTTTTAACTCTTTCTCTTTCTCCTATTCCAGCCCTTTGAAACTGAAAAATTCATCCGAAGACATTACTATGAAAATGCTGGGAGTGGCCTGACTTTTAAGGTCTCACCAGTGATTGAATAAGTCAACCACTGATTCACATCTGAAGACTCAACTAATGTCTGAGGCCAGTGGCTCCACCTGGAGGATTGTAAATATGGTACTATTCAGATCTGCCATATTGCTTACAGCAGTGGGGCATCACTCCAATTTGATCTCTCCTGAGTCCCAGAAAGACTTCCCCTATTCTACAATAGGGGAAACGAAAGCAAAAAAGAGAGATAATAATGCCTTCTCACCCTCCGGAGGCTAGTTGTGTTCTAGTCCATCCCTTCCAATTCCCCATCCCGTTGAAAACACAGAATAGGATAGGGTAAGGGGGAATCTACCCCAAATCCCTAGATAGAGCAAGTCTGAAACGTAGCTTCTCCCTGATTCAGCAAACATTGGGAAAAGACTTCAACTACAGGAATGATCCATAGAACTGATTCACAGTAGAATGGCCCTCAGTGATTTAATGAGAACCCTGAGCTCACCTTAGACCTACACGGTGAGACTTCAAATTCTTAAACTAAACCAGCCACTCCTAAATTAAGAACTGCTTGGATCCTGGGAATTCCTTTTTCCTTGAAGATAATATGGGGCTAAGCTAGACCTCCAGGTCCTGGAGCTATAAAGAATAGACCATTCTCTGGCCATCCTCACTGTGAACTTTTACTTATTAGTTTGGCTCAAAATTGAACCACCTTCCACATATGGAAAGAAATCAAGAGATATTACTATGACTGCAATGACAGCTACTACTAGCATTTATATAGTGCTTCAAGGTTTAAAAAGTGCTTTAAAAATATTTTCTCATTTTATTCTCTGCAAAATTAGCAGACTGTCATCTGACCAGAGAATACTTACCTAGCAGAGAGTCGACATTTAATTCATTGATTAACAATTGATTTTGTTGGTGCAGGGAACTTTCAATGAGGATTTTTTTTCTATTAATGTAGGTTAGCATTTCCCCTTCAACTTACAGCCTTAAAGGGTTTCTTGGAGAGAATTAATATGACTTACTTACAGGAGAATATAGTTGAGGGAGGATTTGAACCCATGTCTTCCTGACCCTGAGGCCAACTCTCACCTCTCTGAGGCCATGCTGACTCTCATGTGGTAGGTGCCAATACATATTTACTGACTGATTTATTAATTATAGACATAGAGTTAACACTGGAGCTGTGATTTCATTGGTATAAGGAATTCACTGGGGAAGAAACTCCCTCTGCCAATGCAGGTCGGCCCCTTCTCTGCAACTTTTAGCCTTAAAGGCACTGAAAACTTAAGTGACTTGTCCAGGGTCACAGAGCCAGGATGTGTTAGAGTGGTGCTTGGAACTAAGGCCTTCCTGGTTCTAAGGTTATCTCTCTACCCTTATGGCCATCGCATGGTAAAAAAAAAAAATTATTCTTTCAGTAGGTATAGACTCCTTCATAGACACACACCCCTTAATGGGCTATTTTTGTGAAAGAGAAGGCAGCAAACATTAATACTCTTCATTTAAGCATTTATCCTGATATAATTGGAAAAAGAATAGGACTAGAAAACTGAAGAACAGAATTCTAGACCCAGCTCTGCCACTAAAGAGTTGTGAGATCTTGGTCAAGTCATTTAAACTTTTTTGGCCCCAGTTTCTTCATCTGTGAGGTGAGAAAGGTAGACCGGAGCATCTCTCAGATTCTGTCCAGAACTAGGAACTTAGGCACAAAGAGCCAAGGGGCAAACACTGAATCAGCCTGAAGTTGATCCCGAGGAAGACGAGAAGAATCAACGATGAGAAAAGTCAGGAATTTTCTGAACTATCCTTAGGCTAACCAAAAGAACAATTTCTTAGTCTTTCTTTTTGTGGGGCCATGGATATAAGCATGAGGAAGACCTGATAGTTCCATACAGGGAGAATAGGTCTCTCAGGCTAGGGTAGCCTGACCCCTAGAGTAAGATACTGGATCTGTCTTTTCTTTTATGTTGCGCAGTTCATCTTTCTGGCAAAACAAACAAACCAAAAAAAAAAAGAAAACCAAAACAAGACAAAAAGACAAGCCCAAAACAACCCACCACACATTTCTAGATGTGGGCACTTCCCCTTTCCTCTGTAGAACCCACTTTCTTAACATAAGAGGAATGAAAGGGTTTAGCTGAGGTTAGATGAAGAGGAAGTAAGCCAATCAAATGCAATGATTGACAAGCTCCTGTCACAAGAGCCCAGAAGGACTGGTACACACCCTTTGTCGAACTTGGTACATGTTGTGTGTCAGAATGTCCCTCATGGATTCCACATCCTCAGGGGAAAGCCTTTTGGTTCCTTGAATTCTCTGTGCCCTGTATGTTTCAGGGGAGGAAAGGCAGGCATTATTCTGCTAAGCAACAACAACAGCTGGAAAAATGGTTCACTGCTTTACCAAGATGGGTATCTCCAAAAAAGTCATGTAGGAAAAACCACTGAAATAACCTAGATTTATATGGTATTAAAACAATACTGGCATTCTCCCAAGCTTAAAGTTGACCACTTAAGAAGGAGTCAGATTTAATTCAGTTCAATTTATCTTGATGGCTTGAGGGAGTATTACAGTAACTCCTGAGTTATCTGCTCTCATGCCTAGTAAGATGTGTCTGATGGTACACAAGCAAAAGATAATCTGGAACAAAACTTAAATGAAATGAAAACTAGTCATGAAAAAGCCAACACGTCTAGTGCAACTTAACTGAACGACAATGTATGTTAGTAAAAATAACAGCATAACAGTTAACCGAGGTTTTAGCAAAGCTGTTACTCTAACATGTATTTCTTGTCCAAAAGGGAATTAGATCTGTCTTAAGTAAGATGTGAATACTATCTGAAATTCAATGCATCTGGAACAATCTGACTCAAGATCCATCAGTAGGAAAGATTTCTGTATTACTTTCTTTGCTTCTTTTCATTTATACCCCAAACACAATAGTTACTCTGTTTTTAATCACATCTACATACAAATTTACTTCCAAATTAATTTTGGTTTGACCTGCAGTTCTATAGGTGTAGGGAACTGTTAGAGTTAGAGTTCCTTCACCAATGCACATCGGCAACTATTCAACAGCCTATAGTCTTCGAGACTTCCTAGGATCTTACGAGATGAAGTGACTTGCCCATGGCCAGTAGATGACAGTCAGGACTCGAACCCAAATCTTCCTGATTCAAAGGCCACCTTTTTTTCCCCCTATACTACTTTATCTACTCACCACTAATTTTACTATTTGGAGTATTCATTTCTCATATGGGTATTCTATAAAATAGTGTGTGTGACATTTTATTTTTAAGTACAGTTAGTTTCTATGTGATCAGGGAACAGAATTTTGATCCCTGATTCACAGGGGAGATTTCTTGCTCCACTTTCAGACAAAGAACTCAGTGGGGGTCCTACAGAAAGAATGGCTGCTGCACACACACACACACACAAGAGAATGCTAGTGCCTAAAGGATACACAATATGGTTTGGGGTGGGATGGAGGTAGGGGTGAAAGACATTTTGCTCAGTATCTATTAAAAAGGTCACACTAGTGAGCACCCATGCAGAACAAATAAAAAACTGGTGGTATACATGGTGCTGGCACTATTTTTTCCCATATCACACTATCTCCCAGCTCTAATGGAAAAATTACACTAGCACCATATGATCTGTTTCTAACTTTTGGAATTTTGTCAGAAAGGGAAGTTTTTGGGGAAAGGGAAACGGTTATTCTATACTGATAGTGGTTAGATGTATAATCAGTTCTAAGGAAGTTCCCCCTGAAATTGCTTATTGATTTCATTTATATAAAATGGTTCAACTACTGAGGGTTTAAAAGATATAATGTCTTAACATTTCAGACAGTTAAAATATATTTTTCATGTCTTTTCAATCTTAACAATAATATTAAACAAAAAGAAAAAAAAACCCTTGTCACTGCAATCCTTACTACTTCTGAGATTTAGGGTCCTGAGTAAACGCTTTAAGTACCCAGCACTAATATACACATCAAATCCTTGCCCAAAGAAAGATTCATGTAACAAAAATTGAACTAAGTGACTTCCTCATTTTTACTTCTATCATATGATAATTTTAAAACTATGGTTAGAAGTCCTACCAATATTGTTACAAACAATACAGAAAAAACCACATCCACCAATCACTAACCCTTTGAGTTCAAAGGAGCCTCTTAGCCCCCTCAGCTTCCTCGTTTGAAAATGGGAATGAGAATACTTATCCTGTTTATCTTACAGTGTTGTCAGGATCAAATCAGATAATAGCATCTCATATTTATATCACACTTGGAGGTTTGCAAAGCACTTGATATGCATCTCATTTGATGCATATGAAAGTGCATTGAAAACTATAGCACACTATAGAAACACAAGGAATTATTGTTGCTGTTATTCTCTGGTATCTTTAGGCATCGAACTCTTACTGAGTATTGGAAACTAGAACACCAAACAAATTCTTGGGGGAAAATACCACTCTGAACAAAACTCAGGGGAAGAGTGGTGTATGCAAGTTAGTATTTGGCATTATAAGTCCATAGAGTGTTACCATTTAAGTAGTGGCTTCAGTCCACAAGCTTCTTTCCTAACATTGTATAAAGGTTTGTTTGTTCAGAGGTCAGCTGCCTTGATCTCAACAGAGGAATTCCTTTTCGCTAGGCTTCTTAGGAGTTTCCATAAGATCAAACAGTTGCCATCTAAATACAGAAACTGTCATCATAGGGTAATTTCTACTTATTCTTTTTTTCTATTATATCTAATTTTTTTTGAAAGTCCCGCAGGTCTATTGGTTCAGAAAAGGAAGTGAAAAAAAGTAAAAAGAAAAAGAAAATCTTTACCTGAGAAGACTCTTGCTGACCCTGAATCATTACCTAAGGGGGTTGTTAATAGAAATAACTGACTTCACCAGATAGGTCTTTTGAACACAAAGGAAGTTTATATTTTGCCTTGAGGAAAGAAAGTCAGAGGACAGAGGATTGAGAACTATGCCTTTAAATTGTCAAGCTCCAAAATATTTTTAACCACGTGCCAGGCTGATTTTTCATTGAGATAAGTGCTACTCACACACCCAAAACAAGTTCTGAAGGAGTAATAAAGGAAAGCCAAGGAAATTCCTCACTTTCTAACTCAAACACACTTCCATTAAGCATTTCCAAAATTATGATTAAAAGCCCTATAAGTGCTGGCAGTAGCAGTTCAGACTAATCCACACACATGTTTACACATAAAGGGATGATGTCTTCCACAGCACAGCTTAATTCTTGTTCCAGGCTATGGAAGATTGATCTTCACTAAAACTTTATTTCTCTATTTCCTGGTGCTTGGTCATGGTGTGGGGGTGACCCGGTTCCTTAAAGTTCACGGTAGAGTAAAGCCTAACTTTTAGTGGGCCCTTCCAAGATGGAAGGGTTTTGACAGCAGGCCCAATGACAAATTATATATCCGTCATCCAAGGACTGGCTTAAGTTTGGAGTGGTTCATCACCAGCAGTTTAGCCTTCAGTTCATCATCAGGTAATGTGCACAGTGGAGAGAGAGCTGTCCTCAGAATTAGGAAGTCCTGGGTTCAAATCTTGCCTCTGACGCAAACTTACTGTAAGACTGGGCGAAGTCACAATGTCTCAGTGCTCAGGACAATTCTTTAATGAGACTATAAACTGCAGAGCAGGGGCTGATCTACATTGGTAGAGGGAGTTTCCTTCCTGAAGTTCCTTATACCAGTGAAATCACAGATCCAGTCCAAAAACAAACAAAAGAAAAAACAAACAAAAAACCCCAAACTCATCAAAACACTGGAACTATTCATACTGCTGAAATGATAGATATTTCAAAATAATAATAATTTTTAAAACCCTCATAGGACCGTTGACTGGATTTTAAAGCTAGAAAGGACCTTTATTAGTTTTAGCTACTTTAGCCCCCTCATTTTACAAATGAGTAACCCTAGGTTTCCAAGAGATAAAGGAATTTGTATAAAGTCACCCAAGAAACAAGTGGTGCATAATATATTTAAAATCAGATCTTCTGAATCCAAATTTAGTCCTATCTCCATTACACAAAACATGCAAAAAAGGCATTGGTGATATCATTTTATCTAAAGAAAAGGGAGTTATCCAGGAGTTAACAAATGTAGACTTCAGTGCCATTTCTTTTGATTTTCATTGCTAATTCTTCTCTCAAGTGGCTTTCTTAATCTAATGGCGATCTTTAGCTTCCAAAGAAGCTTTGATGAGGAGGGATGTTTTTAATCCTACCCTTCCAGCTTCATCTGCCACTACTTTTCACCACTCTATGCACCAGCCTAACCAAACTACTTTCTATGGCCTGCAGTGGACCTGTGCTTTCTCATCTCTGCACATTGGCCCATACTGTTCCCCATTCCTGGAATGCCTTCACCTTCTATCTTCTCCATCTTTGATCACTGAAATCCAATTCATCTTTCCAGACACCCTGCAAAGGGAACACCTCCTAAAAATTCTTTCCTGATCTTTTTTTTTTAGACTTTTAGGTTAGAAATTATCTTTTCTTACCTGGAAACATCATACCATTTTATCCCTATTTCCTTTATGCACTTTTTATGCTCTATTTTACACTCTAGTTACTTATGTATGTCATATTATCACTACTAAATTATCAGCTTCAAATGGGGACTGAGATACATGCTTTATTTCTCTTCCCAGGGAGGACCTAGAAGAGCACTCTGTACAAAGCAGGTAGTTAATAAAGAATGTTGAATTAAATGAGCCCATAAATAATTGTTATATCAACCTAAGTAATCTCTGAGTCCATAAGCTAGTAAATAAATCAAGTACCTTTTGGAGTTTCATTACCTCTTAGAGGAATTGATGCAGTAATTTATTAATTGGTAGGATAATGGCCCAAAATAAAAGTTAATGTCACTTTTCAAATCTTTCTAGCTCACTCTTAGTGAGTCACATACATGGAGAAAATCAGATTTAAGAAGTCTCATGGGAAAAGGTCTTTCTTTCATGAGGAATTGGGGTGGGCAAGAAAAGCTTACATTGATTTGCTTCACATTCCCATATTCCTTTTTTATAGACATTCCAGTCTTCCCTTATGATACAATGGAAAATAATGCTAGATTTAGAATCAGAGAGTCTGGATCCAAACCTACCTCTGATACTTAGTATCTGTATAACCTTGGGCAAATCAGTTAGACTCAGTGGGGAGAAGAGGACAACCCCTTTTCCCCATCTGCGAGTGTTACAGTGTTACGCTAGATGGCTTCTGAAGTCCCCTTGAGTCCTAAATTTGTTATCTTGTGGTTTTTAATTTCCCCTTACCACATTTCCTCAATAATTTATACTCACCAGAAATACTGCACATGTCCCCAAACCTCCCTATAGACTCCTACAGAATTTGCCTTTAAACACAATTCTAAATGTACTTGGAACCACATGACTTTCCATATATGACCCACCAAGCATTCTATTTTTCCCACTTCCTCATCGTTTTACCCCTCCAACCCCACAAGGGGGCTCCATTCATTCCATTTCATAATACCTTGGTCAGCACATATGAAAGAGGGTCAATGGGATGCAATAGAGGCGAAGAAGAAATGAGCTCAAACTACAGGAGCAGTCACTGACCAAGAGTACTTAGCCTAAGACAAGGCTTGAGGGGCTTTCAGAGAAAACATATTGATAGGCGGGGGAACAAAGATAATTGTGTAAAATCTAGGCTGTCGTTTTACCAAGATGTCATGGATCTTTGCATGGGCTAACATCTGCTTAACAGGGTTTTGCAGAAACAAGATAAAAGATGAAATGAACTGGGGAATTTCTAAATGGAAAAGCCAATATTAACACATGGGAAGTTTGTTCCTCATGCTTCCATCTAATGACTCAAGAGGTGGGATGACATAATGGATAACTATCAACTTTGGAATCAAGAAGACCTGGATTCAACTTGAGCCTCAAATACTTATTAGTTGTGGCACCCTCAGGCATGTAACTTAACCTCTCTGTGCTGGTTTCCTCATTTGTAACACAAAGGGGCAGGCTTTGGTCTCTAAGGTCCCTTCCAGCTCCAAAGCTATGAAATTGTCATTATTATTATTATTATTATTATTATTATTATTATTATTATTGACAAAGTATTATCTTTAATTGAAATTCGATGATTCAGTCACCATTGAATTCTGGCACACAGTTCCTAAGTTGAGAAATAGATTTACTTACTGGAGGGGAATCATAAAGGCTGTGGTACTTAGAATCCCAGTCTCCACCATCTCAATAGCCTGTTTCATTTCCAGCTTCTTATACAATGAAACAATGCTCGATTTGGGCTGGTTCTCTCGTATCAAAATTTTCCGTAAGTATTTGTGGTCAAACTTCTTAAACCTGAAAATGAAAAACAACTTTTCAGAAGCCAGTGATGTGTGTGTGTGTGTGTGTGTGTGTGTGTGTGTGTTTAAGAAAGAGAGAGAGAGAGAGAGAGCATTATCAGCATCACTTATCCCTACTTTTTAAAACACTGAGAAAAGACGTGGAATCATAGCTGTCTTAGCCTTTTAACAACAATCCTTTCCCATTCCCCAAAATGGTGTGTTTTTAAATGAAGAAAAGAAAGAAGGAAATGATGGCCCACTGGCCTGCATATATTGGAAATCAACTAGACAAAGGGAAGGGACAAGCTGCAATCAGGGCAAAAAGTGGGAGTGAGTGGGGAATGGGGGAGGTACAGCATAGCTCAGCTCCAATTGTAAGAAAAGAAATGAGGGTGGGTTGAAGCTTTTGAACAAATGTTCTATTCTAATAGTACATAACAGCAGCAGCTGCACTTACAGTAATACTGGCCTATTCAGCCAGACACCAATAAGTTTAAATGGCCCGGTAGTTACAGTAGTTTTGCCCCATTATGTTGCAGATAATTTTGAATCCTGCCAATTAAGAAAACAAAACAAAACAAAACAAAAATTCCAAAAACATGTGTCCTGACAGTCTAAATGACAGAGAGATTGAATAGGCTGCACACTGATTTGGTGCTGATTATTATAGCACCCCTTGCCCATTATAGACTGAACCTCACGTCAAGCATGTGGTCCAGTTTGCACACCGGAATGTTTTAAGTAGTAGCTATCCATCCTTCTGATAATTTTCTATTTGAAGGGCAGCTCATGTGCCTCCTTTCTTTTCCAGAGGAGAGCCCAACTTTATGTGACTATAGGGTTACAGAATTAAAACTATAAGGAACCTCAGATACCATCTGTTATCCCCCACCACCACTGTTTTAACCAACAAGGAAACTGAGCCCCAGAAAGATTAAAATGATTAGTCAAGGTCATACAGGCAATCAGAGACAGAATTTCAACCTAGATCCCCTGATTCCAGAACCACTCTTCCTGAAGATTTCTAATGCAGATGGACCCATTACCCACTGAGGCAGCTCATTCTATCTCTTCAGAGTCTAATCATTAGGACGTTTTTTCTTGATATCAAGCTTAAACATCCCTTTTTGCAGTAACTACCCTTAGCTCCTATGTCCACTCTCTGGGACCAAACAGACCAGATTAATCACCCTAAATTGGTAACCTACAAAAAAGATTTTCATCCAGAAATCCCTAGGAGGCCTACCACAATCAACCCCAAAATATTACCCACCAAAAAGTTTAGAGTTTGCCTAGCATGTGCCACCACCACACCATAGTTATTCAAAGCTAAATTTGTGGTCTCCCTCTTGGCATCCCAGGAGGGAGGAAGGTCACAGGAAAGGCCTGAAAAGTTGACAAAGTGATTCACTTTATTCATTTGAGCCTACATTTTGCTACAACCACCACTAAATGGCTACTTTTTAAAACTCCATAACTCTAAGTTTCTTCCTGTTCTCTAGGAAATAGTGTTCTGAAATGAGTATATTCAAATAAGGAGATCTGAAAACGGGATAGTGTGGAGTAGAGGGAATTTGAAATTATGCACCTCAAAATTTATTTAGTCCAGCATTCTAGCCAATACAAAAATCTCTTCTACTGTCCCTGGCAGATGGGCAACTTGCTTCTGGTGTGTCACAGAGCAACTGGTTGCATTGTTGGGACTTTCAATCAAAACTTCCTTATGTTTTCCTTTTCCCTTTCATTTTTTGGAAGGAGTCTGGATCCCTTATTTCCCCAGAGAACCTGAACAGCAAAAACTCCTTCCATTATGAACGTGCAACAACTTTATAACTTTTAGAGGGTGACCAGGGACATTGAAAGTTAAGTGACTGGCCCATAGTCACAGAGGTAGTTCTTGAAAACTGGTCTACCCAACTCTAAATACTTATCCATCTACTATACTATGTTTCCTATTTTCCCCCTCCTAGTTATGTTAAGTTAAAATCTGTTGGGATGTGGGGAGAAGGTGGTTTCCAACTCCTCTCTACCAGTTCATCCCACTAATCCCCTAGGAACATTTGCAGTTGACCAACAAGACACGATTAATGGACTGGACCACGTGAATTTCCTTGGGAGTACAAATGACCCAGAACTAGAATTCATGAGAAATTTCAGGAAATTTCTACTGCTTTACAATCTTATAAACTTTATCAAAGACAAGGTCTCTAAGTCAAGCATGTGCCCTTTAACACCAATCGTAATGAAATAGACAAACATTCCTGAAAGGAAGATAAAATGAGATCACAAAGCAGGCAGGACCTCTTCTACACCCTTAACTGATATGAGGGCATGTGGGCTAACAGCTCAAAACATAACAGTAAAGAAAATAGAAGCAGCCAGGAAAAACTGAGTGAGCCAAGGATGGAAGTCATAGAGGTGTGTGGTAAGACTCTCTGTATCTGTCCCCTAAAATGACCACCACAGAGCACATTCAGAGCTAATAATATTGAAGAGATTCTGCTCCCTTGGTTAAAGTCGATGTAGAAGAGAAAGAGGAAGAAGGAGAAAATAAGAGAGAAGAGGAAAAAGAGTGAGGAACAAAACCCTCTATTTTCAAAGAGAAAAAGAAGAAAGTAGAGTGTTAAAGTCATCTGTCTTGACCCCGGAGAGAAAAAGATTTTAGAGAAGGGTATGTTCTACTTTAGATTTCTTAGAAGGAAGAAGGAAAGCCTGCATGAGTGTGACCTACATTCTTCCCACTATCTTCTAGTCTAGTCAGAGGCATATGACAACGAGAGACACTTGTCTCCTTGTCCCAGGACTCCCAGGAAAATGTATAGTATTATCCAGTTGTTTTCCTTAGTTTTCCCCTCAGTACCCATTTGGGCCTGTACTTTCCAATTTCAAATCAGGACAAAATTGATTAGACAATGCGATCAATCAGTCAATCAATCAACCCACAAGTATTTATCAAGCACCTACTATGCAAACCATTGTGCTAATGACTAATACAAAGACAAAAATGAAAATAACCCATGCTTTTAAAGAAGCTTACATTTTAACAAAGGAGATGTGTACATATAATATATATATATATATATGTGTGTATATATATATATATATACATATATATATATATATATATATAAAACTATATAAGACATATACAAGTTAAGAGAGGAAGAAGCATGGTGTAGTGAATAGAGGGCTTGCTTCAAAGCCCAAAAGACCTGTTGTTGTTTGTTTGTTTGTTTTTTGTCAAGTGTTAAACATTTGAATTATACTGATGTATATACATTGTGCTCCAGAAGAAAAATCAATTGGTGGACAAATTGTATATAGGAAACATAGTACAATAGAAAGGAGAAAAAAATCCCCAGTTTTTCCACATAGGGATGATAACTAATATAAACAGTATTTGGAATTGGTATGAAAGGATATGGGTTCAAAATCCACCAAAATCCACTCTGGTAGCCGTTTGATGGGGTAAATAATTTCGTCTCTCTGTGCCTTAATTTTCTCACTGCTAATATGATAGTGTTGAATGAGATGGCTTTTAAGGTTCTTTCTAGCTCTAAACCTATCAACTAGAAATAAAAATGTAAACTAAAGTGTGGGTTTTGATGTGTCCTCCCCTTAGTGTGACTCAATCAATAACATCTGATTCTGTTCTATTCCAATAGGAATGGGTCTCAGAAGTGTAGAGACAGTCTGATCTCAGGGCCAGGAAAAATGGGCTTTATGTCCTGTGTGTGATGCATACTGGCTCTGTGACCTAGTCTAGGCAATTTTTTATGATGTTAAGTTGCAGAGAAGGTGCTGACCAATGTAGGTGAAGGGAGTTTCCTTATTTGGGAGTCCCCTGTAGTAATAAAATCATAGCTCCAATCTCTATCTCTATACAGTTCAAATACAGGACAACCTTGGAGGAAAAGGTACTAGCCACTAAAGGGATCAAGAAAAGTTTCATTTACAAAGTGGCACTCAAGTTAATTTTTTGCGGGGGGGGGACAAGGTAATCAGGGTTAAGTGTCTTGCCCAGGGTCACACAACTAGTGTCAAGTGTCTGAAGTCGAATTTGAACTCAAGTCCTCCTGACTCCAAGGCTGCTCTATCCACTACCTCACCTACCTGCCCCTCAAGTTAAATCTTTAAACACAACAGAGATTCCAGAAGGCAGAAGGACAGAAAAAGAGCATTCCAGGCATGGGGGACAGAGTGCAAAGATCTGAAAGGGGGAAACAGAGTGTCACGTGCGAGTCATAGAAAGGCCAATGTGGCTCAACTGCAGAGGCTGGAAAAAAACACACCGCTAGATCTGGATTAGTTTGTGAATAAAATTAGTTACATAATTCAAATTCTAGCTACATATTTCCACTGAATTGCTACATTCTGTGTACTTTGAACCATGTGAACTGGAAAGCTAGGAATGGACTAGGTTGTGAAGGGCATTAAACGTCAAACGGAAGAGTTTATATTAGATCCCAGACACAATGGAGAGCCACTGGAATTTATTGAGTTGGGGGGGTCACATGATCAAATCTGCACTTTAGAAAAATCAATTTGGCAATTGTGTAGAGGAAGGACTGCAAAGGCTAGGAAGTTGAAATCAGATCAAATAGAAAGCTAATGCAATAGTCCCAGCAAGCAGCGATGAGGATCTAAACTGGGATGGCACCTGTGTGAGTGCAGAGAAGATGGCATGTGCCAGAGATGTTATGTGGAGATAGAAGCAACAACAATTGGCCACTGGTTGAATATGTGAGATGAATGGGGAGGTGATATCAAGGATGATATCAGGGTTTTAAACCTGCCTGAATGGAAGGATAGTGATCTCCTTAACAATAACAGGGAAGTTCAGGAGAGGGATGTGTTCCTTAGGAAAGTTACTAATTAATTACTACATCAGTATCATTCAGCCTCCCAAACATGCCTGATTTCCTTGCTATTTTATGTCCTGGGAGATCACATATATTGGCATAACACATTCTTAGGAATATTATAAATTTGCTTTGGACATATTGAGCTTGGGATATGCAGTTTGAAGTTTCTGATTGATGATCCAGGACTGAAGTTCAAAGAGAATGACTAGGGTTGGATATACAGAATTGGGAGGTCATCTGCATAGAGAGGACTATGTGATTTTTGGCTGGGGCAAGGGGCGGGGAGTATATAGAGACTAGAGGAAATTTGGGAAGATCCTGGCCTAGCTTTGAACTAAGAACTTAGCTCCTCAATTCTCTTAACCTATAAAGAGCCCTCTTGACTTGGATCTGTTGTTCTAATGAAAGCTTGTACAGGTACCTGAAAAATAAGCAGCAGATTAAGGAGATCTGGTATATCTCTATGTTTAGGGCCTGGAACAGATAATTTTACAGATTTCTAAAGGATATCATCTTCCTGTGACTTTCATGCAGTGGTCTTACTTCTGCCCATTGGAATGGGGCTCCTTGAGGGCAGAGACTTTATACCCACAGTGCTTAAAACAGTGTGTGGAACATGGTAAGTGCCCATTGTTTTTCGACTGGATTATTGACTAACCGGTGCAACACAGTCCGTCTTCTATCCATCAACTTTTCAAACATTTGAAAAATGGCCATCATATATCCCTATAGTCTTTTCCTGGTGAAAAATTCATAGTCTCTTTGACCATTTCCTACACAAGATAATTTTTTGGATTTCTTGCTTACTTCCCCCAGATACCCTTTATTTTTAAGTCTCCATGTCTTTCTAACTTAATCTCTTCATTAGGATGTTTTCTTTCCCAGGTATCATCTGCCCACAAAATGCCCAGGTTCCTTACTTGTCTCTCACTTGGTAGTGGCTCCACTGTCCACACACATCTTCAATTCCAGCCTTCAAATGGTCCATCAGCTATCAAAATTGAACATAAGGACATGATAGTCTGTGAGATGTTAATTCTGACAAATACCCAAACAAAGGTCATGCATACAGAAAATTAGGTGTCTGGCAGAATGGGCCTTTAATATCCTGAAACTCTCAGCATGCTCACCTATCTTTCTAAATACTTTATCTCCATAATACCTGACATTGTCTTATTGCTTAGTTTCATGGATTCGGAGATTATACATTAATTTTTTGATAATCAGAATTTTTAACAACAAATACAGGCTTTCTGTAAAATGCTTTGTATAATAACCCAGTTGAAATCTCACTGGAAATAGTTAAGAAGTATCCAGTTAGTGAAACCTAACTTATACACATCCTAATAATCAATAGCAACCTCTGATCTCTCTAAAAAGAAAGAACAAAAACCACTATGGTTAGATTTAGCTTGTTTCTTCTACAGTAAGCAGAGTCAGCTATGTGATATAGTGGTTAGTGTTCTGAACAAGGAGTCTGGAAGACCTGATATTAAATCTTGCCTCTGTTACTTGCTAGCTCTACGACTCTAGACAAGTTGCTCAAATGCCCTCACCCTTAATTTTCTAATCTGAAAAATGGGGATGATAATAATCCATACCTTAAGAGGATTGTTATGAGGACCAAATGAGCGAATACATAGAAAGTTCTTTGCAAACCTTAAAGTGCTTAAACATTAGGTATTGTCATAACTACCACAATAGTGCAAATATTATTGTAGACAATATTAAAATTCTGTCCTCCACTGCTTTTGTTCTATCATTAGGCCTGTAATATATAGCATGTTTATCTAAAGCTGTTTAGGGAAAACAAAATGGGAAGTCTGACTTGTGATTTCACTGTAATAGCAAGGAAGGAAATATTTATTAGCAGTAAAAATAAATGACATCTCTGAAATTTTAGTTTTGAAGTGTGCTTGGGCCACTAAGGAGGGAAATGAATTGCCCAGGGTCACAACGAGGCAGAGGCAGAAATTTAAAAACCAGGTGTTTCTGACCTCAAAGCCAGCTCTCTATCCAACATGCTACAGGACCTCTCTTTTAGGAATTTAGCAACAGTGCATTAGTCTGAAGGAAATAACAGATCAGCCTCCAAATGGATTTAAGGCAGGAAACCTCGAAGTGTTAGCTTCTGACCTTTTCACTAAATAAGATTACAGAATGAATTTAGACCTAAACGCTACATCACTTCACTGACTTCTGCCATGAACTAATTGTTCTCTCTCGGAGAAAAAAAAGGACAAAAAAATTTAATATCCTTTGGTTTCTTGTAACAAATAATGCTTCTCAGTTGTACCTCTCTTCCTTCACTAGATATTCTCACATTTCCATCAGTTTCTAAATGTTTGGATTGGGATTTTTTTTTTTTAGTTTCTGCTGCTCTGATCTCTATTTCTCTCTCTCTCTCTCTCTCTCTTCTTCTCTCTCTCTCTCTCTTCTCTCTTCTCTCTTCTCTTTCTCTCTTCTCTCTCTCTCTCTCTCTCTCTCTCTCTCTCTCTCTCTCTCTCTCTCTCTCTCTCTGTTTCTTGCCACAAAAATATTTCCAGTCTTTCACCAAAACCCTACTCCGTTGCTTTATTGTATCTCAGGTTCTCAAAGGCCATCCTGATGCAGCACAAACTATGGCTGGTTTTACCAAGCTTAAAAGGCTTTAAATATGGGCCTGATGATGGAGTGTGTTGTTGTCTGAGGATTAGCCCAGGATGATGGCCAGGGCAGCCTAAGTACATCTAAGTACAGCAATGTTTATCACAGGATGGCCAGATACCAGGTCATAAAATTTTTTGTCCGTAACGACTATGAAACGCTAAGATGAGGCAGCGTCTTACTTTGGTGGAGAGTGTGCCCACATCATTGAAACTACTGACGTCTTAAAGTAAAAGTTTCTAATGATAGAGAAGAACCTTTAAAAAAAAGGCTTTGGTCAAGCTGATTTTCACTTTTGAGCAGGCCAGTATGACTTTCAAACCACTACCACCATCTCTTCTCAGATTCCAGTGGAGGCTGCCCAGAATCTTGTGCTCAAAAGCCATGGAAATAGCAATTCCCTTCAGGCTCTATTTCTGGATCCACCCTCTGCAACCATCATCAAGGGGCAAAACTTTAACGGAGAAAGGACCTACCATTCCTGTTTGCACTGACGCCACCAATGGGTGGCAGCTCATACAGACCAAGAGCAAGAATGTGATGTGACCTGGCAATTGCCAATACAGGTGATATGGTCACCACCTCTCAGCAGCTGTAGCAACTGAAGACCTTTAACAGGAAGTCTTCACCTTAGTAATGTCAAATGGTTCACCATTAGAAACTGATATGATCTTCTTAATGCAAATGACATTTAACAAGATATATTAAAGTTGTCTGCCTTGCTACCCCCTAAAGAGTACTGGTTGTTACCATCTGACTTGTGGCCAAATCCTATGTGTATTGTCTCCCTCTCCTTGAAAGGAGGGACAGTCTTACTTCTTGATCTGTGTCTGTGGCACTTGGTGCTTTGCATATAGTAATTGTTTAATAAATGATTTCTCTTTCATTCAACAAGGCTGAATGGATTTGAAATGAACACTTATTCTGACTAAGAGATCACAAGGTCAATGACTGATCGACCTGAGGCCTGAAGTTCAACTTTCTTAGTCATTCTGGCCCAGTATTTTAATGACAACTGCACGACATATGATAGCCTCCCACTCCTACCACAGGTGGATGAAGTTACTCTGTTGGAGAAGGTTTTGTGGTTTCTACTGAACTCTAATTCTCTTTCTTAGTTAAATAGACAGCTTACACGGGTATGAAGCTCTTCATTGATGGATTCCTTTTTGTTGGTCTTTTTCACATCTAGATATCTGACCAAAGGGCCAATGGTCATTCCCTGGATTGGAAAGAACAGCAATTTTTTTCACTTTATTATTGCTATTTAAAACTCAGAGATGAAAATTAGAAGGTAAATGAGATCATACAATTTAGAATGGAAAAGGACATTCGAGATTATCTAGTCTGATCTCCTTTTACAGACAAAGAAACTGAGGCACAAAGAGATGAAGTGAAAATTTCAAGGTCACATTAGCAATAAGTGGCAGCACGGAACCAAGCCCAAGTCATCTGTAATGCCTTTACTAACCCCCGAACTGTGTTAAATGAAAAAGCCCCAGGGAAGCTCAAAGTGCCTGAATTACCCTGTCAAATTAAGGTCAGCAATAATGAACAAAAACCCTCTTCCCTTTTCCTTTTTTATGAACAAGCTGCCATTCCCCAGCAGTCTTCCAATTCCCTTCTCCCCCACCTTCCCAGCATGAATCAGCACCTGTTGCCAGCTCAAGGCTTCCTGTTTTGTTCTCCCAATACTTGGTTCTGCTCCACACTAAGCACTCTATAAAACCCCATGAGACTTACCGGTTTTGAGATGCCCATTCCATCTGAGGCCCCAGAAGGGTATTCAATTCTACCTGGATCCTAGCAGACCTGACTTGTAACCACCATTCTTCCTGTTTGTCCTTCGTGTTGCAAGTGTATGCCCCCAATAAATCTGGCCTGTTTTTTTTTTCTTGCTGGAATGCTTCATGCTTCTTTGCACCAAACTACTGTTATCCCAAATCTTCCCAAACTTCTATGATGCTTCCTAAAATCAGTGGTATTTCTACTTCACAAAATCTATGGATTTACTTAATACTCTAGTTTTCTTGGGCTAGAACCCCAACTGGAAAAACTGATCCCACATTATAAAATACAAGAAAGACAGAGAAGGACTGAAGAAGTCATTTGAGTTCCATCTTTCCTTTTATAGGTGAGGAAATTAAGACCTCAGAGAAGGAAAGTCTCAGCATTTGAAAACTGTTTAGTAGCAAAACCATAACTAGAATTTGGATCTTCAGTGTCCCTACTGAGCTAATTATCTGGTTATTATTATTTATTATGATACTTTATTATAACCAAGTCTTTTGTTATTATTCAATATCATAATTAATCATTCTTTTGTTATAATTGCATTATTTTACACATTATTAGAATTAATACTAACCACAAAATAATTAACTAGTATACTCAATGGGGATTCAAGAGTCCAAAATTCTACTCTTACTTCTACCATTAACTACTTTTAATAATAATATACAATCTGAGCAAGGTAACTAATTTTTTACCTTTATGTTATTTTATAAAGAGGAATAAAATTTTTAAATTAATTTTTAATTAATTCTATGATGATTAATTCTAAGTGAGACATGAACTAGTGAGGTACTGGCACCTCTCCTTTCTAGTATTAACTGGGATCTTAAAATTAGAGAGGTCAGGTAGAAGCCACTGTAATCTTCTAGTTGTTAGTATTCTCTCCCTTCTCAAGTTATCTTACATTTATATTCTATACAGCTCTCTATGGTTGCAGAGAAGATTCCAACTTGCATTGGCAGAGGGAATTTCTTTACCTGGATATCCCTCATACCAGTGAAATCATAGGCCCAGTTCCTATCCCTATCCATGGTTGTGTCCATGTTGTGTGTCCCCTCTCATTAGAATATAAGCTCCTTATGGGAAGATGCTCTTTTCAGTCCACATGCCTTAGATATAGCACAAGGTTGATAAATTTGTTGAATTTGAATTTGCATATAGTGGGGTTTGCTTAATATAAATTAAAGCTGCAATACCGTTAAAAGTTGACTCAAACCAAGACTTTTCAGGAGAATTTGAAGCTTCTGTTCTTAATCTAGCTTTCCCTTGAGTTATTAAAGCCAAATGCTAAACATTAAGTAGTGCTTTTTAAAACTTATCCCTTACATATTGAAGGGAGGAGAGGAGGAATGTTGGAAATTTGATAAAAGTTATTTTCTTTATTCAAAAGAAACTCACCAACCTGAATGAATACAGTAAAATATATAATAACAAGAGTGGCTGTCACAAACATTTTCTTCCTAGGAAACAGAGACAAGGGCAGCAAAAATGCAAGTGAAAAACTCCCAGCTCCTCTAAGCCCACTGTAGAAGATAATACACTGGTCCTTGACGGTGAAGGGAAAAGTCCGAAACTGGTTACTGACATAGAAGAGAGCAAATACACCTATGAAGGGAAAAGGAAATGTTAGAGAATCCAATCTAATCCAATCCAGTAAACATTTATTAAGGACCTACAAGGTGTCAGGCACTGTGCTGCCCTCAAGGAGCTTACAATCTAAAAGGAGGCAGAGAAAAGATTTATAGCAATATAGGAATCAAGGTCCAATGAATGTGGCTCTAACACTTGGACTTTTCTACACAGACTAATCAAATTTAATGTTTGAATAAGAGAGTGGGCTCTACTTAGTCCAAACAGATAAGTGGGGGCGGGATTGAGGCGGCAGGGATTTGGTCTACAACAAGCTAAGGAAACCAATGTCACTGAACTGTTCTCTTGCATTCAGCTGCTCTAGAACTGAACTAACCATTGTTCAGTATGAATCCTGCCTTTTAGAAGATCCAAAACATTCTATGCCAGAGAGTGTTCCTTGATTCAAATATATTCATCATTTAACAAAAACTTTGTAAGCATCTTCTAGAAGCAGGACATTGTAATAGGCACAGCATACAGACCTCCAAGAAGGTCTAGTAGATAAAGGATAGCTATTAGAGTCAGATATGGATTATCTGACACATACCAACTGGGTAAACATATCCCTTAACTTCTCTGGGCCCCAGACAACTGCTTAAAACTATGAGATGCAGTTGAATTTCCCACAGAAATGAAATCACAGGTTGTGTCTTCCTTCATCTTCCCTCCTCCCACCCCCCAAAAATAAAAGTACATTAAAAATCTAAGTTTCAAATTGGCAGCAAGATGTGGAGCACTTTTTTAAAAAGGCCTTCTTGATGTAATGTAATGTATAATACATAATCAATATGTACTATTTATATGTAAATATATAATAATTAATGTAATAATATGCTCTTAATATATTTATGAGTACTTTAGAAGAGGATCCTATGATCACAGATTTACAATGGGAAGGGACCTCAGAGGTCAACCTCTTCATTTTACAGATGAGGAAACTGAGGCCAGTGAGATCAAGTGATTGTCCAAAGTCTTATAGTCTGCTTCAGAAATAGTTTTTGAAGGTAGACTTTCTGATTGAAGAGCCAAAGCTCCTTTCCCTTTAATAGCCAGCCGGGAAAGTCTTTTAATTTCATGTTTGTTTGGTTTTAGACACAGTATCATACCAAAACTTTGTTATTGCAGGGGAAAAAATACATACTTCTAAACCCATAATTCATGAATATTGCTTTTTTAAAAATTGTCTATTCTGACCACCAAGACAAAAATGTAGCCAGCCAGAATGGATGCCTAGGAGCCATAATCTCACCAAGCAATCAAGATGATAGACCACATGGAAGTCTTTCTTGCAGAGGCAACTGGGATAATCCTAATCAGCAGAAGATGACAGCCCTCTAGAAGTATTTATCAAAAAGACACCTGGGAGATATGTTCCAGGAATGGAGGGTATGTTTTGGCAGAGACCAGGGCACCATATTTCTTGTTTATTACAGGGCAAATAGAAAAGTCCTAAATAGGGATGATATGATGAGGCATGCCTAAGTTCTAGGGACGTCCAATTGTTGAAGAATGGAACAAGCATGAAATATGCAGTCAAAGTTAAACAACCCAGATAAGAGCAAAATGCTTGTGTAGCTGAAGCAGACAAGTGGAACTGCTCAGCTGACTCGTAATGACCTGTGTGTTTAATGTTCAATCAGTCCCATTCCTTCTGTGAGGACCTGGAGATTCAATGTCAAAAATGGTTTTATCTTCTATGATAATAATGAGTTCACTTTATGGAGATCCATCCTTATTACCTGCTGGCCTTTTCAGTGCCTGAAAAACTTTATATCTTTCTTTCAATTGCTACTATTCTAATTCTGCATGGAGGTGATGCTTATCAAGATAAATTAGGACCTCTAAGAAAGGTGAGAATCATGTAAGGTCAATCTATAGAGACTAAGGATCACTGGGAACAAAGTTAAGCTGATAATTTCAGAAGGGAGTGTTAAGCATTGTTTCTCCGGTGAACTGGTGCAAAATTGGTCCTATGAGTATCTGGATCTGTCTGAAGATGTCAATCTTTCTTTGATTTTACCAGAGCTGTGGTGCTAAATCGTGCAGTGTATAGAGTGCTGGGCTTGAAGTCAGGAAGACTCATCTTCCTGAGTTCAAATCAGGTGTCAGCCACTTACTACTAGCTGAGCTAGTGTGTGTGTGTGTGTGTGTGTGTGTGTGTGTGTGTGTGTGTGTGTGATGCTGGGCAAGTCACTTAACCCTGTTTGCCTCAGTTTCTCATCTGTAAAATGAGCTGGAGAAGAAAATGGCAAACTACTCCAGTATCTTTGCCAAGAAAACCCCAAATGGCCTCCTGAAGAGTAGGAAATGACTAAACAACAATGACCTGCACCTATAAAAGCATGCGGCTGTCTAAGAAGACTTTTCCCCACCAACAGAATTAAATTATAGTCTACAAAGCTGCTAGCAGCCTCAGGATCTACGAAGGTCCAACCCCAGAGGATCCAGTTATTTGTGCTTTCCAGTACCAGAGGCAAGGAGCTAAATGGCCAGCCATGTCCCTGCTAGTGGAGGTCAGGGATGTGAAGCTTTTTATTGATGGATGGAGTGACCTCCCTTCTTTGGGAATCCTTTTGTAACTTCCTTTCTTGCATCTTAGGAACTTGTGGCTAGGCAACTTGCAATCAAATTCCGGGGCTGACCACAATAAAGTACAAGGTTATCAGTAAAAAAATCAAGAACAATTTGTTAAGGGTCAATTGTGGCTGCCCTCTTCCCTTCTATATGGGTTCCTTGATGGTCAGAACTGCTCTTTATAACCTAAGTAAAGTAGTAGCTTGCTCCCAGGCCTAGACTACAGATCCTTTTTGCTACAAGGAGGCAAGGAAGGTGATGGTTGGCTCCATCCTTGGACAAATCAAACAACTCTCTGCAAGTTGACAATGACCACTGCTTCATCCTAGGGAAATCATGGGATAATAAATTTAAAGCTGGAAGGGACCTTAGAGTACCACTAAGTCTAATCACCTAGCTTTACAGATATGTTAACTGACGCTCAGAGAAGGTGTTACTGGAACAGCATTCCACAGCTGGTAGGTATAAGGCAGGATTTGAACCCAGGTTTTCCTGACAGTGGTCCAATGCCCCATCAATTACACCTTGCTTCCACTCCAAGGCCTTGGATGGACATGTTGAAGATGTAAATAGTAATTGTTTCTCTTTCAGCCAGCCACCCTGAGGGTCTTCCCTTACTAGTTTGATTTTTCTTTATTAAAGGGGCCATCCCCTTAACTCACTTCTTAAATAGGCCTAATCACCCAATGGGCATTGCCTCACTCAAAGTGAGAACTTGGATGACCTTAGTTTAAAAAGGCCAAAGTCTCCCACTGTATCCTGGGACATCTCCAACTGTCCTGATCTGGCGACTGGACCCAGATGGCTCTGGAGGAGAAAGTGAAGCTGGTGCACAGCCCTCCCTCACTTAAATCCAATTTAATTGCAAGTCATGGCATCATTTTCCTCATGTCATGGTCCTCTTCGAGAATGAAGGACAAATCACACAACACCTTCAAAAGATGACAAATTTCTGGTTCTACTGAAAGTTTCCTGTTTTGCTAGTTCACAGTTTTAGCCTGGAGTAGATCATCAAAATCCTCAAAGTAAGCCAGTAGCAAGCTGTTTTCATTAACATGTGGTGGAAAATTCCTACTTCTATGCTTTACCATGTTATGGATGTGGTTAGGTTCTCAAAGTCTATTCTAGAGGAGCACAAGCTCTGGTAAATAATACCGATCTGTCAAGGTTCTCTCTCTCTCTCTCTCTCTCTCTCTCTCTCTCTCTCTCTCTCTCTCTCTCTCTCTCTCTCTCATATATATGTCTGTGTGTATGCACGCATGTGTGTATGCATATATGTATATATATGTGTGTGTGTGTATGTATATGTGTGTGTGCATGTATGGAAGCAATAAATAACATTTACATACACAACATATGCACACACATCCATAAGGAAGTGACCCAAACTAACAGTTTTGTATCCATTAACTTCTAGTATCTCTGGTCACTGGAAGTCCCAAGGCTCACTTCCTTATTAGATTATTAAGCACTGGAATTTAGGGTCTCCAAACCAGAAGAGCTGGTTTAGAAGTTAGCAAGAGGAATGTGATATATGTTACCCCATAGGATTGTAATCTTTGCTTTGGAAAAAAGTCACTGAAGGCAGTGAAGGGAGTACAAAGGTAGAGAGGGGTGGGGTGGGAGCAAGGAGTCTTTCTGAATCCTGAAAAGCAGCTCTCTGGAGCTGGGAGTGATCCCAGAGATCCGAGGGAGCTGTTTATACATTTTCTGCAGCTATAGTCTTTGGGTCTGGGGGCTTTCAGATCCTGGTGGGATTTTTTTCATCCTCATCTCTTTCCTTCATGGGCTTTGGGATGAGACTGCTTTGCATATTCCCAGATTCCTGGTGGGACTCTTTTTCCTATAGAAAGATATTCTTGAAGAGTGTATTTAGTTGCCCTGCCAAGATTCTATCTTTTTTCAGCTCTGGATCAAAGCTGAAAAGGCCTTCTTGAGCTTTGAGGGTAAAGAATTGCAAACCACATCTCCCAATGTAAGGGCAAAAAAATGCATCAGGATGCACAAAAGAGCACTGATCTCGGAGTCATGGATTCTAGGTCTAGGTTTGGTACTGACCAACTCCATGATCTCAGCCAAGGCACTTGTTCTCTGAGCCTGATTTCTACAACTGTAAATTAAGTATCTATATAAAAACATTGAACTGGATGATTCCTATGGTTCTTTCTTGCTCTGAAATTCCATCTATATCCTACTTGGGAAAATATAACCCCCTTTCTTTTCCATGAGTATGGGGAGCTGGGTGGCAAAGCAAATGGAGCACTGGGCTTAAAATCAAGAAGATTCATCTTCATGAGTTCAAATCCAGCCTCAGACACTTACTAGCTATGTGATCCTGAGCAAGTCATTTAACCCTGTTTTGACTCACTTCCTCATCTGTAAAATGAGCTAGAGAAGGA